GCCTGTTTGGGCAGTTATAACATGTTAGTAACTCATAAATAAATGATCATGAAGAGATGCCAAGAAATATCAAGATGGAAGGGGGAATCAACTCAGTGAACAACAGATAGCAAGGATGCTGGCTGATGAGAAGGATAAGCTATGTAGTGTCAGATTATAAGGCTTAGTCATCTTGCCAAATAGTGAGCCTGTGTTGATGTATGAAAACTATGTTAGAACTGGTTTATAAATGGTTCTTAATGATTAATAAAGTGTTTACAACCTAATTATAAACCCTTTATGAATTATTTATAAGGGTAGTCTTATTGTAAAGTGGTACCGCATGTTCGATACGTTTTAGAACCCAATAAGCCCGCTCGCATTTGAGGCACACTGTAGACTTCCAAAAATACATTAACAACACAAAAGAAAGGAACACACATCAATGGGGATGCAAGACATTTGTCTGATAACTAGGCGAACACAAATAGACGTGGAAAATAGACATCATGAGAGAGGAAACCGAGGTAGAATCGAAATGTTGGAACCAGATAGAGAAATGAATAGACAGAAGAAAGGGCACAGATTAAAAAAAAGAAGTGAGGAGAAAATAAAAGGTAAAAGAAAGGCCAGCAAATACAGTTGATCACATGAGAAGTACTCACTTTGGTGCGGGTAAGATGGTGCCCAACGTCCTGTACAAGATGGCTCCGATGACATAGTACATCGGAGCATCTGACTCTGTTTCTGTCTCTGAAACACAGGAAAAGGTGCAACGGATCAGAGGCAATGGTTTGCTTAGAAACGTCTTCAAAAATCACATTAGACAATCCATCTATCCACCAGTTCAAGGTTGTTCTGTATACCTCTTTTCATGGTGTGCAAGGAAAGGGGTTGCTATGGAAAGTAATTGTGAGTTTGATGATTTAAGGTTTAAATAAAAGACTGCAAATGATGTTTGATTAGAGATAACCTCAACTCTTTTTTTTACCAGGTAACTTAATTTAAAGGGGACCTATCATGCAAAATGCACTTTGTGATGTCTTTTATACATAAATATGTGTCCCCGGTGCGTCGGGGAACTCACGCAAATCTTTTAGAAACGGGTGCACAACGAGCGGGTGTCCATCCGTGGTGACGATCAGAAACAAAGCCTGACGTGTTTTGGACGTCTTTGTTTACATTAGAAAGCCTCGCTAACACTCGCTAGCCTGCACTGTAGAGCACATGTGTTTAAAAAGCAGAAAATAAAAATGAACTCACCTTGTGATAAACCTGCAAGAGAAAAAGCACTTGAGCTCCATACTGTTTCAGAAATAATCATTGACGTTGTTTAAACAGGATGGCGTTTTATCACAGCAGAATTTAACTTTATGTCCGGTAGAATTCTGATCAGGCATTAGCTCCGCCTCCTCTTTTTTTTTTTTTTCAAGCTAAGGACCCAAGATCCGCGTTTCTCTAATAGGGCTTCAAAAGAGGGGTTTGAGCAGTAGGCATGGCTACAATGGGTGATCTGTTTGGTATTTTGAAAAATGTTTCTTCTTCACAGACATGTTTTATATAGGTATGGACCTACAATATATGTTTCAAATATAGCATGATAGGTCCACTTTAATGTATCTATACGCAAATACACCGAGTAGTTGGTGAAGTAAACAAGCACAGATTTCACCTGTCTCATCAAACTGCAATGTCAGCTTAATTTGTATTTACTCCTGAGCTGTCACTGACAAATGCTCTGTTGAACACATCAAAATAAGAACAGTTTGTTAATTGCAGCATCTGATATGACAGCTACATCTTCCATACTCATTCCATACTCAGACTTATTCTTCCAAATTAGCAATTCCACTATTTCAGGTGAAATAACCTCAATTTGTGTGCGTGAAGCCACAATTTCTGCCTCTTAGCAGCTCAATTAAGCCTGGTTTCTAAAAAGTCCATTGGTCTAACATGCAATTAACTTAATTCCAATTTTTTTTTAAAAGGCAAATGTTAGACAATGGCTCCTTTCTATTAGTTTGACCCTTTTTTTTGTCTTTTAAATCTGTTGCTGTGATTCTCCAAGCCACACTTCAACTTTTCCCCCCTTTACAACGCATTGCCTTCCACCACTCCCTTCAGTCTTCTTTCACCAAAAAGAGCAAGGGCTCCCAAGGAGACGTAGTGTCCCTCTGTAAATGTCACTTTGTCTCAAGTGAGGGAAGGAAAAGAGGAAGAGAGCAGAAGTATGAGGGAAAGAGTTCATGTTGAGAGACGCCACTCCCTCCTTTGCCCTTTCAGGCTGAGAGAAGCGACAGAGGATCATTGACACAGAGAGCGGAAGAGAAAGAGACAGAGGGGGCTGATGGTATCAGACGTACTGTGTGACTCATCCAAAATCTGTCTGCCTGCTGCCTAAGAAGTAATACTCAGGAAGAGAGATAGCTATGCACGACCGATGAGGAAGACACAAAAAGAACCCGAACAGTGTTGAAAAAACCCGATTGTTTGACTGTGAGGAGGCAAAAACAGATCAAAGTCAGCACGAGAAAGCCTGTGAGTGTGATGGATCCTAATTGGACAGTGTCTGCAAAGCCATGCAAATGAGAAAGTCAGTGTATTGTGGGTAAATGCTAAATCACTGTGTGATGTTGGGGCACTCCTACGCATGAGGATGATTAATACCACAAAAGCACTCCATCATAAAACTCTAATTTCCCAGGAACATCCTTTTTTTGTCACTCTTCTTTTCTGAACATCTAAATGATTGGTGGTCAGCTGTAATCCAGCAAAAATGGCAAACCAGTTACCAGCTGCAAACTTTAATATGCAATTTGTGAGGAAAAATATGATCGGAGTTTATGCAAGGTAATAATTTGTGACTGCCACATATTGATTGAAGGTGTTTTTTCTAAACTGTAGTGGCAGGGGAAAAGGTTTAAGGCATGTTGATTATCATGAAATGAAATGAACTATGATACCTGTATAATATCCTCGCAACTGCAGTTCTTAATGTCCACTGTTATGTACGGTTTGAGGGTGTGGGTCATTAAGCCTCATCTACATATTCACCTGTCGCGGCGCGCCCAGGACCTTTTTAGTGGGAGCGTCAATGGGATGCCAGGGGTTGGTTCTCATGGGAGGAGGAAGTGTGTATGTGTGCGGCGAATGCGGGTATTCAAAGGAATATTGAAGTTTTCCTCAACATGTGTTTATATATGGTAAAATGCAACAAGGAACATAACTGAATGTGGATATTGCATCGATCCGACCAAGAAGCACGTCTCCGTGGAGAGGACACGCACAGATAGAGAGAGAGATTCTCTCCAACACAGGGTGAGATCGCTCCTTTGTGCCACGCCGATCATCGTGTTTTNTGTGTGTGTGTGTGTGTGTGTGTGTGTGTGTGTGTGTGTGTGTGTGGCGAATGCGGGTATTCAGAGAAGTTTTCCTCAGCATGTGTTTATGTACGTTAAAATGTAACGGGGAAAATAACTGAATGTGGATATTGCATCGATCCGACCAAGAAGCACGTCTCTGTGGAGAGGACACACACAGATAGAGAGAGAGATTCTCTCCAACACAGGGTGAGATCGCTCCTTTGTGCCACGCCGATCATCGTGTTTTTCTTTTTGTGGATTATAGTCTGAATAGGCCTACAAACATTTCCGTTTTTTTGCTACCGACAGGCGCAGGAGCAACAGTTTTTGTCAATGAACTATAGTGACGCCGGTTTGGGTGCAGTCTTAGTCCAAGCTACCGATGAAGGGGAACAGTTGATAGCTAATGCTTCACGGGGATTGAGAGGGGCCGAGTGTAACTACTCCACATCAGAAAAGGAATGTATAGATGTTGTATGGGCTGTTGAAAAGTGGCGACATTTTCTTGAGGGAAAATAATTCACTGCATACACCGACCACGCTGCTTTGATTTGGGCTTTCAACTGTCCGAAGACCTCTTCCCGGCTGACTAGGTGGATCTTACGACTCCAGCAATTTCAATTTAGGGTCCAATACAGAAAAGGCCTGCACAACATAGTGCCTGATGCCCTGTCCAGAGCGGTTGCAGGTCCGTCCGCAACTGCGTATGTTGCTTCAAACACCTCTCACTGTACTTCTGACTTGCCAACCACCCTATCAGACATACGAGAGGCCCAGGAAAGGGACCCTGAAATCAGTGACATTGGCAAATAACAGTCTGCTGCATTTGTAAAAGCCAGATAGGATAGGGTACACTGTGTTACAGGTGATTCTGTATCGAGCGGTCGCTGATGTGAGTCAGTGGGGCCAGGAATATTCGACCTAGTGTGAGCAAGTAGAGCGTGTCTGGAGACAATCACTCTACCGATCTGAGTTAGACAGCTGGTATGGCTTAAGACTCTCTTAAGAGTCTTGAGGTGAAATACAATCTTTTGCCTCGTGAGTTAATAACTAGTCCACATATACCATTTTTTTCCATATGCCCCGTGAGTGAAATGCATCCCCCTGGGCCAGTCGCCTTAATGTATGCTGCTTTTCTATATAAGATCCTTGAGTGTTGGGTACGGCTGGCCAGTCTTGTTAGGGGAAAAGGGAGTGGTGTGAGGGCGCATAACTAAAATTGTGTGTTGCAATAGGCAAAGTTGCCGCCGATTTACCATAAGACAGATAGATTAGGCAAATAAACTAGCGCGCGCGAGTTAATGCAAGGCAGCCTACTATTACCACTGGTGGATAGATGCAGCACCCCGGAGGAGAATAGCTGGGGATTTTTTTGATCTTCTGGGTATTTCCTCCTTTTCCCCGCAGTAAAGAAGAAAGTCTTGTCAATCTTTCGTCTTTGACTATGATATAATATATATTTATGTGGGTGTGTTGGAGGTTTTGTGGCAACTGATAAGTGGAGATTTAAGAATGTTTCGTCAGCCTAACATAAAAGACTTTCAACGCCCACAACAGAACTTTCACAACAGCTATATTAGAATTCCGTCTCGCCCACCCGTCTTGAAAGAGAGATCTTCACCCACCCTTTCGTAGTTCGAGGTGTCCTACGCCTGCACCCTTTCGGCGTTATACTAGATCGGAGAGAGACTGCAAGATATACAATAACTGTTGGCCAGTAACACATGAAATGGACACAAACTCTTATGTATAGGAGACGATGAAGGAACTTTCCTTGGGGACGTGAGCGCATCATTCAAAATTTCAATCTCTTCACTCCCAAGAATTACACCTTCATGGTTTAAAACCTTCTAACAGCAACCTCATCAACCGGAACAAAATTCATTGGTCTCAAATGGTTCATAACCAGGCCATGTCCCAAGATCTACACTAGGCCATTTCCTGAGCTAATGGCTAGCCGCAACTTATGGCTCACATACTCAAAAGAGAGGATGCCTACGGAGAACGCCTTGATTTTACGCTGCTTCTTATTGGTCAACGACCAAGTCAACATAGAACTGGGATCAGTTAAGTGTATAATCGAGGGTAATGCGAAACTTCTTTTTGTATATTTGTCCGCCCGTCCAATTTGCGCATGGTCTGCCTATAATCAGTCCAATGAGACAAACACAGGGGATCAATCACCTTCACGCGTAATTGAGCGAGAAAGATCCTGGCACAATAACCGGACACGCAGTACAAAGGACAATGCCCTCGCCTGGGAAATTAGGTGCCGATGTCGAGAAAGAGGTTTTGAATCAGTCACACCACATTACCGCTTCTTTTTTTCAGCCATTACAAACACATTTCTCTTTCAACAAATCAATTCCACTACGTAAAGTATTTTTGAAG